TTTTAGCAGCTCTCACCACTACTTGATTTACCTTGTTAGAGCTACTTTTGGGAGTTATGAGAGCCAAGAGTCATTGTCACTGTGATTCAATGCAGAGCTCAATTATCCTGAATCCATCCCACTAGATTATTCTGATGTGCTTCCTTAGCATCTGGTAGCTGTGTGGACATGTGATAATATCAAAACTGTGACTTAGAAGTATGGAAGTCAGCATTCTCTTTACTAGATAAATAAATAAATAAATACACATTATAATCAATTAACTGAAAGAAAATCAAATCAAAAATAGGCAGACATTAAACCTATGAAAAATGAGCAAATTGTATTTTTATGAGGTACTTTGCAACATGTTTATAAACTACCACTTTTTCTTAGTTTTGTCACATGACATGCGAGAAAATTGCCTACTCACTTGTTTTTATTGGCAGCCACCTGAAGGGTTTGTATGTTTTTTCTTTTTTTTTTTTCTTTTTTTTCAGAATATTGTAAATCTAAAGTTTTTACAAAGCATCATCCATCCAATCATTGTCCATACTTTCTGAATACTTGCAGGGTTGTGAGAGAAGGCTGGTATACGCCTAACACCTAAGGGCACCTAAAGGCAATTTACCGTGCCAGAATAATGCATGTCTTTTTTTACTGTGGGAGAAAGCCTGAGTACCCACAGAGAACCTACGGATGCATGAGGAGAATTTACAAACCAGTGGTAACTACTAAATAAACTTACTGGCTAATGTGTTTGGCACACTAATTAAATTGCTTGTTAACTCATAGACATGTATTATAGAAACTGCTGATCTTTTGGGATTTTCAACATCAACCGTCTTTCAGGATTTCATGGAATGTTTCCAAAAAGAGCGAATACCCACAGAGCAGCAGCTGTGTGGATGAAAATGCCTTGTTGCTATTAGAGATCAGAGGAAAATGGGCAGATTAGTTTGAGTTTGGGAGGAAGCTGGAGTACCCAGTGAGAACCTATGCATGCACTGGAAGAACATTCAAACTACATGCAGAGAGACACCAGGCCGGCATTTATAACCAGGAGCCTCATGCTGCAAGACAACAGTACTAGTAACTGCTCCACCGTGCAGCCATGACATCACATGTCAAACCTTTAACAGATGGGTTATAGCAGTAGAAGATGGTGCAGTTCTGTTAACTAAAAACTGCAAATTGAGTATACTATTCTCACAGGCTACCAAAACCTGCTAAATACATACTGGATAAGCATTGGAGGGTCAATTCAGCTTTGAAATCTAGATGGAAGGGTCAGAATTTGGTGTGACTACTATAAAAGCATAAATTAATACCGTCTTGTGATGGTGAAGGTGCAGTGGTGTAAGGGACATTTTGAGTCTGTCAATACGATTTGAGCACTGTGTAAACATCATGTCACTGTCTATGTTCATTATGTCGGTTTTGAAGACAAGAAAGTGGTCCAACCCTTTAGTAACCAGCTAAAGGGCCTTTACTTGTTTAGCACTTTATCAAGTCCAAACAACCATAAAGCATTTTACACTACATTCAGGCATTCACCCATTTTTAAAATGAAGCTTAGCAATGGCAGCTGAGGAAGTAAACAAAGCCATTCAGTATGTGTTGGCCACACTTCCAAGTATTGAGCAATTAAAGTTGGAGGACAAAGAGACATTTTACTGCTGGCAAAGATGGCGCTACTCCCTCTGGAGTCGTTAACAGTCCACGCAATTTCCGGTAAGCTTCATTAAGCTGGCGCATTACATATGTTGCAACCAAACATGAGTGATTGGGTAAAATTTAAAACTTCAACAGAGTCTGCCATTTCAGGAAGCAATCGTTTCTCATTAGTTGAGTGTCCAGATCCTCTGCATGAAGCAAAACTTGGAACAAGGGGTTGGTTTTTACCAGGCTAAAGTCAACCCAAAAAATACTTTAAAATATTTTCATATTTTCAGTGTAAGCCATTAGATAACCACAACTAAAATAGCTTCTGTGCACTTTTAATATTGATCTTGAAAAACTCCAGGATTTATGTCTCCCACTTCCAACAGATTCTCACTCTGTGTATTGATGATGGCAGCTTAGCAAGCTGTCTACTACTGTTTAACTGAAACTGTGAGTGACCTCCTGTGACTCGAAAAAGGAAACATTTTCTTCCTTGAGTACACACTCAAATCAGGAGAAAAATGTTTGCTCTGACTCATTCCCAAAGGAAGCAAATGGACTGAGACAGAAACAGCAAAATTGTCTCCCTTAATATAATTGAGACACTGAGATCCTAAGTTCAGTTAAGTCTGAGATTCATGAATTTTCTTTGAATTATTTAACCATTACAGGAACTAATTTATTACCAGATTGTAACCAACATTTACATATTAGTGACTGAGATAAAATCATCAAGTGAGGTTTCTCCCACAGGAAGGAGGGACTTTAAGCTCAGGAGAATCACTGATATACCACCTTACAGTAGAAACACACGGCACAACAGAAAGGCTTCTCAGCACTCACTTAGTATAGGACTGTTGTTCCAACTTGTCCTTGATACAGAATGCATGGATCAATTTTATAGAAGAAAACGACCGAAATCTGTTACAAGAAGATGTGGGGTAACAATATGCTTGAGGAGATGTGTTATTTGCTATTCCTAATGCTATCGTGCAAATATGAAGAAAAGCTTTTTTTCTTCCTTCAATTCAGAACAAATTCAAGGATTAATACTGTCTGCAATAAATTCTACATAACACATGTGAAAAATATACTTATTAATTTTAACAGCGGACAAATTCACCACACACTGAGGACTGAGATGTGGAAGATTGCATTTGTCACATTAAGAAAATAAACTTTAACATATTTTATTAGGATTTTATGCCACCAACCAACACAAAGTTGTGCGTAATTGTGAAATAGAATGAAAATGACACATGGCATGTAATGTAAACTCTGTTTAAATACAATGCTCCTGTGGAGGCCTCAAAGATTTATTTGAGAATATGGGAGCACAAATAGCATCATGAAAGCTGCACTTGTGTGTGTATGTGTGTTCAGTGCAAGGTGTTTTTTAAGTGATTTGAAAAAAAAAGAATATTTTCAGCTTTTAATTATCTTCAGGATAAAATAATCACCCATTTTATGACACCATCCAATTCTTTTTAATGTCGTTTTCAGCACTTCAGCATTATTTTATTTATTTTTTTTTTCTCTTTCTCTTTTGTGTCCTCTCAAGCCTGCTTAGAGCTAAAAGCTCTTTGGATTAAAGAGAAAACTTTATCTTTGTTTTTGGTAATTGTGCAAAGAATTCAGGCACAGGTTTGAGATAAATCATGCACTGTTGTATCAAAGAATATGGATAATTCTGTGGCTTCATAAAATCTTACAACAGCCACTATAAAACACATGATGAGCTCTTTCCTACACCCTCCCCCTCAGGAATCCTAAATAGCAGCTAGCGAGCCGCACATATGGAGAACTGGAAGGATAGCAATAGCAAAGCCAGAAGGAAGTGCAAGAAGTTGAAAGAAAGTGCTGGCTGGATGAAAGAGAGAGGAGGTGGAGAAGCAAATTGCACCGTGATGAGAAATGGCAAACCCCCTGACAGATCGTTGCTCTGACAGCTTCCACAGCGCTGAGGGGAAATTATTAAAATCTGGTTAAATCTTCTGAAATATAAACTCTTGCAGGAGATCCAGTCGAATGCTGCAACATGCTGTAATAGGTTTGAGCACAGTGAGATTAAAACACAAATTAGCTTGTCAGTTAAGTGTTTGTTGCTTCCACTGAGTGATAACAACGCCTTGACTTAACCCCAATTATGAGAGGTGATCTCTAATTGGTTTTGTTCCACACGGTTCAGAAAAAACCTTCAGACTCCAACCAAGCGTGGAAATATTTTGTGCATGCCTGCAGCCTAGAAGACGTACCCCGAGGTTCCAGAGAGATAAACGTGAGGCATTAATTTATCTAAGTCTCTCATAAAATCAGCAAGCTCTTGATTAAAAATGTTTTGCATTGTGTCAAAGGAAATTAGACTGACTGTATGAGTTTTAGCACTCTGATACAAAAAAGTTGCTCTCTACCAATCAGATTTTTTAGATGTTTTTATATAGACACCAGGCAAATCGGATGCGCCTCCTAGTGGTCATTTGTAGAGCTGACCAAAGGATGTATGAAGTCCATACTTCCAATTGAATCCCACCAGCTAACATTAAATGTGTTTTATTACAGTAAAACTGTGGTACAGTTTGCACTCTTGCTTTGTAGCAAGAGGGTCTTGGTTCATACCCTTCTCAAGACCTTCCTGTGTGGGTTTTCATGGTCTTCCTGTCGAGTCATGGTTTCTCTTTGAGTTCTTTGGCATCCTCCCACAGCACAAAGACGTGCATGTTGGTTAACTGGTCAGTTCAAATGTTACTTAACCATGGCTGTGTGTGTGTATCAGCACCAAACTGTAGTGAAACTGTAAGGATTAACTGGGTATAGAAAACAAATTGATGTTTATTTTTCTGACTCTTTTGGTTATAGCAGTCGTGTCGTAAAGGCAGTATGGTAAGTATGGAGGGAAGAGGCATCCAGTTTAATTAGTTTAAGAAATGAGCACACATAGAACTTTGTCATTTAGGGAGTGAATAATTCCCAATCACGCTGCACATGAAGTGGGATCCCAGTACATGGAGAAGACATGATTAATCAGATACATTTAACATAACTGTCAAACTGTGAATGTTTCCTGAATGATGAATCCATTATTCATTTTAAACCCTAAAAGAAGTTTCATAAAATGCTATAAAGGTACACTGTTAACTATAAAATAACTATTTGTGTATTTGCCATTCATTAAAAAGTGAATTTCACAAGTTTCTGTGTGACCGGTTGATTAAGGAGCAATTTAGTTAAGACTTGAGCGGTCTGGTTCTGGACTTAACTGGGAGTACCAACCCCACGATCAAAGTCCCAGGACACCATCCAATCGTGCACCGCCACTGCCCTCTGCAGAACACGATGACAAAGACTTTCACACTTACGGTAGAAGACGTATTCAGTGTAGCTGGACCAGATCTTGTCCTCTGTGTGCTGGTTGACAAACGAGGCTGTGACTGAGGAGTTGCAGGCCACCATCTGGAAGCCGCACTCCGACAACATATCAAACGCTCTCTCCAGATGCTTGAACTTGAGATAAAACCGGGAGGTGTATCGCTCCGGGGTCCTGTCCGGATCCCGGCTCTCGTTTAGAGTCTCCCCGAACACCTCTTTAGCCAGAGCCACCCTGCCGCAGATCAGTATCCGAGGTACTCTCCTGAACTTGGCGTCGCTCTGGCTCTCCCGCCCCATGGTGCACGACCCCCGGTATCCCACCGTGATGAAACCGCTCTTCCTGTCCGCGGGGACCAGAGAGGGCGGTGGGCACTGTCGGTGGTCGCTACCCTGAGAGCCATCTTCGTGGTCGCTGTGAAAGAAGTCATCCGGACTGTGCTTGATGTCCTCTGGGGTCAAAAGCTTCACCAGGTCGGGCAGCTGGAAGTACTCTGCCTCTTTCCGGAGCCTCCCTTTCTCGGGGAAGTGGTCCGGGAGGACGACTTGCTTGTCCCGGAGGTAGTCCAGAACATATCGGAATAAAAACCCGTCTCTGTCGATAAAATACCGGCCCTTGGGGTCTCTCGCCAAATCGTTAGATGCGTCTTTTTTGGAGAACAGCTTACCGAGCAACGAATTCGGGGTCCCCACCAAAGTTGAGTGGCGGGTGTAATAAACCTGCCCCCCTACGTTTAACTCAACAACATCTGGGAAACTGTTCTGAACTGAAGCCTGCAGGTCTTTGGGAATAGTTCTGCAGTTTCCACTCAGCGCCATTCTTTTCCTCTCCCTGCAGGAGCTCTCAAAAATAATGAAAAAATGGAAATAAAGGCTGTCAAAAGGTGCGTCCTCCTGTATTTGGTGACAGAGTCTCCAACTTCATCTCAAAACCATCCCCTTTTACGTTTTCCCTCCATCGACGTTAATTCAGTGACATTAAAACCCACTGGAGTAGGCTTATTCATCCGTTGCTGGGCATGCAGCGCGCCTCTTGGGTGACTTTGGTGGAGGAAGAAAAGAATCAGTGCTGCGCGAGAGTGGAAAACAGAATTAGAGGCTCACATTAGTGGCTGTAGGACTCTACTGCCTCTGGGGAAAACAGCATTATATGTAGGCTGAAAGAAACCTTCATGCATTGAGTGAAGAAAACTTGCCTTGCATGCGTATGTTTTTGTTCCTGGTAGTATTTCCCAACAAAGAAAAAAAAAAGCTTCCCAGAAGAAAGTGGATCAACTTATTTTTAGGATATAGTCCAAACAGGGGGAAGAGAAAACGCCTCGGAGTGATTAGAAACTTCACTGCTGATTCTGTGTTCTGTCTTTACAGTCATAAAAATAAATATTCTCTGCTCTTCCTAAATTGTATAAAAATCGAAATCCATGTGTTCTTTTTTTTTTCTTTCAGAGCAGAAAAGTCCGCGCCGCCGCTGCTGCTGCTACAGGGAGCTGTCCGTGGTGCTGCTCTCCTCCTCAGCCTCTTCTGCGCGCACCTCCTCCCTTTCCCGACAGAGTTGGGTGGTGTCTTCTTTTCTCTCCTCTGCTGTGCTGTCCCCCCTCCTCTTCCTCTAGTTCACACACTCATACTAACACACATGCACAATCTATTAAAAAAACAACAATTTTGCATTTTCTCCGATATTTATCACACTTGTATTCCTGTATGTATAATGCATGAAGGCCGTGCCGTTGCAATAAAATGAACAAACTTGTTTATGTGTCAAATGTAAAGTTTTCGGGATTTCACAGCCAGTACTGCATCCATCTTTGTGCCATTATTTCTACATAAATATGGTCTGCAGCTTGATTCGATTTGCTATAAGCTTCTTTCAATAAATCAAATATGGATTTTCCAATTTAAATATTACCAGATTTGCCTTTTCCAGAAATGTATTTGGATATTTACTTTCCTAGAGATAAAATATTTACAGCCCAGATGAGCGATTCTCAGTGTAACTGAGTGGGAACAACGTGTGGGGTTTCTCTCCTCGGTTCAAAATACGCCCAACAGCGCCCTCTTCTGTTTCACTCCTTCCCAGCCTGTGGAGGGACCCCACACAGTTACAGCTGTTAAGTTGACGTGAAAGATAAACCTCATCAACATTTTAAACAATACTTTGATAATTTTGCTTGATTAAACTGTTGTCATATGTAATTGGACTAATTTCAGTTTTGTTTGTATTTGTGAATATGTTTTTGGTGACCTTCAATGTTTATGTGTAAATCTAATGGTTTGCTCTATTTTAGTGCTAATCGACAGAGTGCCCTTGTAAATCAGATTCTAGGTTCCCTTTCTGGTTGGATAAAATTCAAATAAAATAAACATTTAAACTGTTCAGACATTCAAACTATTAATTTTCAAAATATTTCTACATAAGTATTTTTTCTTTATCTGCACATATAACCCTCACACCAAAACACCTATAGGAAAACAAGGCATTGAAGTGAAAACAAAGCACTTTATTGCAGAAATTACAGTCACTCTGCAAAGCAAGATGTAAATATAAGTACTGTAGAGATAAAAAAAAAAATCCAAATATCTTTTGAATTTATCAATGTGTAGAAAAAATAAAAACAAACCTTAAATATTTTCACATTTTCTCAGGTAACAACCACAAACTTCAAAATATTTTAAAGGTATCTTGTGAGACATTACATAGATCAATGACCAGTGGTGCATAATTATGAATTGGAATGAAAAGCATACAGTAGTTTTCAAAATGGCTTTTAACTGACTATTCTGAACAATATTAACTCGTCATTTAATGAAAACAAGTTCATGTAGATTAGACAAAAATAGATTAAATGCTATGGTAATAAATGCTGAATTTAAATGATGTGCAATAGAATTATCAGATTAGATTTCATTGGACTCTAAGATAAGTCCTATTAATATTCGTGCATATTGTAACTTCAATGTTGCGATATTCAACATGAAAGTGATTTATTTTGCTGCATTTTTAAATTAGCATTAACATAAGTTCAATCTGTAATCATTTGTTCAGGAAGTACAATTATATGGCAAGAAAAACAAAATGTCAGCTTACATCCATCAAGACAGCATGGTAAATTAATTATATTTTAAATCTATTTTCAGCATAGCTGTCAGGTAACTAAAACCCAGAAGAATGTATACTCATTCATCATTAAATATTGCATAATTTACGTTTTATCTCCCTAAATCAATTAATCAGATGGGGAAAAAATGGAAAAGAGAGAAGACAATACAACAAGTCATCAAGATCAAACACATTAAAATGAAAATGAGACACAGAGGCAGAGAGAGATGCTGGAGAGGTGTGCCACGCTGGGACCTGAGCGGTCACCCAGAATTAGGCCACGTTGGCAGCTTCATCTTAAATACATATGCATATTACAGGCTCCCTGCTATGCTACTATTTAAAGAACAGATGACTGACCATCTGTTAGGAGTTAAACCTGTTTCTTCCTCTCCCTTCCAAAATATTTGAGAATATAAAATGACAACCACAAAGACAACAGAGCATTATTGTTTGATGCATGATAAATTATACAGACATACAGTGAAATAGTGAAAATACTGCCTTGCAAAAGAATTTCTACCCCTTTAACAGAAAGCAGCACATCATTGAGAAATGAAAGGAAATAATATATTATCTTTTTTATAATAATATAGTATTGGATATTTGAAGCTAGCCTCCTTGAGTGATTACTTTGTTCACCCACCTAGCTCAAATGAAGTCAGATTAGACAGGCAGCAGGAGTGAACAGCAGTTTCCAGATCTGACTTTTCCTGAGCCAGGTTCTGTAAAAAGACATTTTCAGAACCACATATGGCTTTTCTTCTACTTTACAGTTATTTTCTACTTTGAGTTGGTCTATCTCATGAGGTCCCAAACAAATAAGGGACGTTTGTGATTGTGATGTGAAGAAATGTGAAAAAGTTCAAAGGACATGAAAACTTCTTTCAATGCACTGTATCTCCAAACTTCTTGGTAAAACCTCATTCACAGGCGATCACACCCACTACAGTTTCCCTCTGACATTTTTTTTTTACATCTCAAAATTTGTTTAATCAGTTTTGCATTCGCTCCTACAAAATGTATGATAAAATATTCAGTCCCCAAGCACAGCAGTGACATTCATAATTTATTATTTTTCCATGAGGCCCACCACCATATCAGAGATATTTTTAATTTTTCACTTGAAAAAGAAATCGACTTATTGCTCTTACAACTAATTCATGGGTGCTTCTCTTCCTTGACACAGATCTGCTTGCGAGCACAGTCACTTTTTTCCTGTGCGTTGCACGAAAAAATCTATTGAAGGGAATTTTCAGTCCAGTCACAGATGGTTGAAATAAACAGCATACTTCTCCCACTTCCATCTCTCATTACCGGCGCTCACTGAATGATGCCAGGCGATGAGAAATCTACAAGTACAGCAAGCGGACATTCAATGCATAAATCCCCTTCTATGGGAGAGGGGCGGTATTTACTAAAGTGACTCCCTGTGCTCTCAGAAAGGGATGATTATTTATTTATTCATTCATTTCTCAGGTCCAGATAATGAACATTTGCATTGCCTGAGAATAGAAATGATGTTAGTTGTAAACAGTCTATGAGTTAAAAGCTTGATGGTAGATAAGTTGTTTGTCCATACCGCTCCTGAAAGTCTGCTCTCATTCAGAAAAAGCTGGACGTGCAAAACAAACGAAAGCAGCTCTCCTTTTCACCTAAGAGGCACTGCATTAACCATTAGAAAGACATTATGCAAATTTTTTAGGTTGTGTAATTGGGGAACACTAAGAACGCCATTATTAAAGAAACCAGGAGCAGTACATGTTGATTATAGAAATAACTATTTATAGTTGGAGTTGTTCAATTCTGCAAACTTTTACAAACATAAAAAGCTGTTATATGCATAATACAAAAGTTTTGTAACAGCCTTGCTAAAGTCCAAATCTGAGGGGTCACCTGAAGAGAGCGGAGGTCAGGAAGTGTCTTCATAAGTTCAAAGATCCAAACAGCCTCTGCAAACTGCAGTGAGCAAAGTCAAGATATGTGGTGCTTTGACTAGCAAAAAATTCTGAATGTGAAACCGAGTTGAAACATATTTCCACAAACGTATAGCCAAAGGGTGTACACACTTATGCAACTGGGTTATCGCTCCATTTTTATTTAGTTGTACAAAATAAATGTCAATATTTGTGAAAAAGACATTTTGAACTTAATTTCTAAAAGAAAGTAGAAAGATATATCACTCATAATTCACAGTTATAAGCTCTTCTGCTAAAGGTGTGTAGGAATACATTAAACAATTTTTTGTTAAAAAATAATAATTTGTTTAATGTCCCAGCCCCAGACTTTTCTATCTATGAACAATAGCAAATAGATAGCAATAGATATCTATTGCTATAAAAAGGTGGAGGGAGAGTGAAACTGTGGACCGGGGGGGGATTGGATTACTGCCGACAACATATTCGCGTTTGTAGATAGATTTTTACCCAGAATGCAAATGGAAAAAAAACCGTGAGAGAAACGGTGACTGGTACTGACTAGTATATATTCCATTGAAGGAAACTAAGTTTCATATCTGCACAAGAGCTCCCCTGGTGGTTGAAGAAAAATCCACATATATATGAAAAAAAAACGCTGAATGCTCTCTGGTATTGTTCAGAGGGCCGGACCAAATGAGGAGGTGAGCCGGATCCGGCCCGCGGGCTGTAGTTTGGGGACCCCTGGTCTAAAAGAAAAGGAGGAACCCACCTCTGAGGAAAAGTGTCTTCACTCCCTGCTGAACCTGCAACCATGATCAGAGTGCTGCTAAAAATGAAACATTGCCATTCCTTTTAAAAAAGGAAAACTATTTTCAACCACAATTCTATATTTACTTATTTATTACTGCCAAAAAAATTCTCTTTGAATCATAAAGCAGCAGTGAGGGGAGGTGACTGCTGTTCAAATTCACCAGGCTTTTCAGCGTTTTGGTAGCAATACATGAACAAACCTCATTATGGCATGTTTGCTCCATGCAGCATTGATCTTCCAACGTAAACTCCACGAAGTCGTCGTGGGAATCAGTAACAAACCCAAGTGCCCCAGATTTCTTTTTCTTCATCAAATAAACTATTTTTAGCTGATCACATCTAAGAGAACAGATAGTTTTAGATGCACAAAATAATCAACAAATATGCACATGGAGATTTAATAGTTAAAAGGACAAACATGTTCTTCCAGAGAGCAGAGCCTAAACTG